GGAGATCAAAGCAAACTATTTTGCTATTATCAGTGTATAGTCTACAAACGAAATTTCCATTTCAGTGGAAAATTTTTCATTTCTGCCAAATTGTCGATGGTGAAACACACGAGCTTCAATATTCAGAAATATGTGATGTTAACACTTTTCTATAGAATGACGAGTGAGACTCTTGATGAAGATTTCTAGAGTAATTTAACAACAATTGCTGTTGATTATTCACGGATCAAAGCAAACTATTTTGCTATTATCAGTGTATAGTCTACAAACGAAATTTCCATTTCAGTGGAAAATTTTGCATTTCTGCCAAATTGTCGATAGTGAAATACACGAGTTTAGCGAAACTAAATAGTCCAAGGGGTTAATTGTATCGCAAGGTAGAAAGGGAACAAACAGTAACAATACGTAAACCATGATCGAACGATCTCCAGCAACAGAAGCGCGAGGAATGAATATCAATTAATATCACGGTAGCTAACCAGCAAATTCCACTCGAGTTATCGAAACCATCAAGTCTCGTAGTGTATCATTGATAGCGAGCCGTCGTTGGTTACCCTTATCGTCCGCCCCCGTAGTCCCAGAATTTTAGGTTGCCGGCGTAAGGAGATTTCGCGGAAGAATTTCAACGACGAGATCCACGAAGCGAGATAAGGGGAATAGCATCGAAACGGGCGCGCCGCGTTCTCCCCGCGGGACGATTCAGATACTAATCCGGCGCGATGCAAATGGCCGGGCAGATAACGGTTTATTGTTGATTTGTATCGCGGGGCAGGGGAACGCAGGAGCTAATTCCGCGGACCGCGTTTATCGGCCGGAGAAATCGGCGAGCGTGGAGCGAAATTGTTGCACGGTTCTCGCGGTTTCCGAGGTTTCCGTGACGTTCGATCGTTTTATTCGACACGGTCCGCTGTACGGTCCTAAGTGGTCGGTTCCTGATGCTGGATCGCGGGATTTGCAGCGCACCGGAGGCGGCCGGGGCCTCGTTAAAGCGAAATAACGCGTTAATGATGGATTCAAGCGCAACGAGGTCGCGCCGCGGTGTCGTTTAACTCGCGTTCTTTATGCGTTCCACGCAACAAGCGCCCGCGGAACGGCGTAACTAGGGCTGCTAGCCGGAGATAAATGTTACAGCGTCGTCCCGTAAATTACATTGACGCGAAACACCGCTCCGACTGTCTGGCAAAAAATTTGCTGGCTCGTGGAGCGAGTTTTTGCTGAACGAGGATATCGCGGCGTAAGGAATTTCACGGGGAAATGGACGCGACTAATGCACCTGTCCGTTAAAACTGAAACTGTTCTACTTGGAATACCTTCGAGATGCTGCCTCGTGAAATACGCGCGGAAGGAGGAGTTAGTGGAGAGTCGACGGAGCAGGCAGTAGAGCTGTAGTCTGCTATCTGGGCGACCCGTGTTCGAATCCCCCCTTGTGTTCTGATTTCGCTTTTTCTGGGATTCATCTGGTGTAATGTATAATTATTTGGACTGTTATTTGAGTATTTTATTGTGGTGGATTAACCCTTTGCGGACGAAGATACTTTGAAATATACAAAGTCTTCGACAAATGAAGTGGAACGAATTATCTTAATTAATATTAGAAATTACTTAATAGGAAAAAAGGAAGCTACGAGCCCCCTTCTGTTCTGATTTCGTTTTTTCTGGGATTAATCTGGTGTAATGTATAATTATTTGGACTGTTATTTGAGTATTTTATTGTGGTGGATTAACCCTTTGCGGACGAAGATACTTTGAAATATACGAAGTCTTCGACAAATGAAGTTAAACGAAACATCAATTAATTAATATGAAAAAAGGAAATTACGAGCTGATCTCTTGCTGTCAAAGTAATTAAACCATTTCTTTGCGACTTAGTCTTCCAAATATGAGCACTCCATCTCTCCGAAGTGTCGACAATCGCCCGCAAAGGGTTAATAGAATTTATAATTGTTATTTGAGGTAATGAGCTTGAAATCAAATATTTATTATGTATAACTTGGGATATGGTATTGTATTGGATTTTCCTGCTTAGTATTCAGATTTTCCGTAGGATCCGATCAGATACTTGGAATTACATAGGAAAAGTCATGTCGAGTATGCATAAAATCAGCAACTACCGAGAAAGTAATTAAATCAGATATTAACCAAAGTATCTAAAATCCGAAGGAGATACTTATCACAAGCATTCACCAAGAAAACAGGAATAGCCCGCGAGAATGAGAAATCCTCGGGCGAAAGTACTCTCGAGTACTCTCAGGCAAATAGAGCACAACTAAATCTCTCCGACGAACTCAAATAATCCGCGAAACCACTCCCCAAAATGAAACGCACTCACAGTGACAAAAAATCCTCCGCATTCAAAGTACCGGCGCAAAAGATGTTTTCCCAAGGAAAAGTAAGTCAAGCGCGTAACACAGGATATTTCCCTTCCACTCTTAAATCCAAACGCGCTACTAAAAGGAGCCGCGTCGCAGAGGAAATTCGTCCGTAGACTTTCCCGCCGGAAAGTCGAGCTCAGACGTAAAGTTCCCTTAACGAACAGCTTTATCCTGCGTTATTTCACAATTACGCGGCGGCGTCTTCGCCGTTCCCGCGAGACAATGGCAGAGGAGAGAGAAGCTTCTTGACGTGCCACGGAGAAAAGTTGCGACGCGTCGTCGGGTAGGGTCTCTCTTCATCCCGCTTCGTTGAATTATCATCGCGTCTCGTTGCGCGCACTGCGGCGGCGTCGGCTGACAAACAGGCCGGTCCCCGTGTCACCGGAAACAAATTCGTGCCGCAGGATTCCAGCTATACGTGCAGGTCCGCCCTCAGTCTTTCGCGAACCGACGAATTCATTCTCGTGGCCGTGACAGTTGCTCGCAATCTCGGCTCCCTCGAAACTTCGCCGGCGTCGGGGAACAAGGCGGTGGCTTTTAAATCATCCCGAAAGTTTCGCTCGAACGAAACTTCGACGGTAGTCGAATCCGTCGCCCGCGGGCATTGTTTCAATGGAAACACCGGCGCGCCGCGTCGGCCGGCCGTTTCCGGGTCGCGGTAAACAATCGTTTAGCCGGCAAACATTCGATTCGCCGTTTACCTTTCCGCGTCGGAGCTGGAAAAGCGAGGCAACTCGTTTCGTATCGGCGACGCGCCCGCCGCCCCCGCTCCCGTTACGTCGACGCGAAACAACGGTCCGCGGGGAGAGGAGGGAAAATCCGGTGGGTTCTCGGGGGGCGTAATCGCCCCGGAAACGAGCCTGGACTCGCTTCGAGCGCCGATTCGGCGTCGCGTGTTCGCGGCGTCTGAATGGCGCGCGGTAATTTCCCGCGGAAAATCGCTGCTAAAAGCTTAATTGACCGGGCGCGGCTGCGGGGGGGACGCGGGACGACGGGAGCCGGGCCTCCGGGCGGAGGGAACAAGGAGAAACAAGCAGACAATGCGTCGTTGTTAGTCTAATGACTTCTTCCGCGAGAATTCGCGTTTCCGTCGCGCGAGGGGAGCTCCGTCTTTCTCGTTTCCTATCTCTTGCTCTTACTCCCTCCGTCTTTGTTGTTTCCCTATCT